GAGTTAGAACCACACCACGGATAGTGTTGGTGAGTTAGAACCACACCACGGATAGTGTTGATGAGTTAGAACCACGCCACGGATAGTGTTGATGAGTTAGAACCACGCCACAGATAGTGTTGATGAGTTAGAACCACACCACGGATAGTGTTGATGAGTTAGAACCACGCCACGGATAGTGTTGATGAGTTAGAACCACACCACGGATAGTGTTGATGAGTTAGAACCACGCCACGGATAGTGTTGATGAGTTAGAACCACACCACGGATAGTGTTGGTGAGTTAGAACCACGCCACGGATAGTGTTGATGAGTTAGAACCACGCCACGGATAGTGTTGATGAGTTAGAACCACGCCACGGATAGTGTTGATGAGTTAGAACCACACCACGGATAGTGTTGGTGAGTTAGAACCACACCACGGATAGTGTTGATGAGTTAGAACCACGCCACGGATAGTGTTGATGAGTTAGAACCACACCACGGATAGTGTTGATGAGTTAGAACCACTTCACGGATAGTTTTGATGAGTTAGAACTACACCACAGATAGTGTTGATGAGTTAGAACCACATCACGGATAGTGTTGATGAGTTAGAACCACACCACAGATAGTGTTGATGAGTTAGAACCACACCACGGATATTGTTGATAAGTTAGAACCACACCACGGATAGTTATGATGAGTTAGAACCACGCCACAGATAGTGTTGATGAGTTAGAACCACGCCGCGGATATTGTTGATGAGTTAGAACCACACCACAGATAGTGTTGATGAGTTAGAACCACGCCACAGATAGTGTTGATGAGTTAGAACCACACACGGATAGTGTTGATGAGTAGAACCACACCACAGATAGTGTTGATGAGTTAGAACCCGCACGGATAGTGTTGATGAGTTAGAACCACGCCACGGATAGTGTTGATGAGTTAGAACCACGCCACAGATAGTGTTGATGAGTTAGAACCACATCACGGATAGTGTTGATGAGTTAGAACCACGCCACAGATAGTGTTGATGAGTTAGAACCACACCACGGATAGTGTTGATGAGTTAGAACCACACCACAGATAGTGTTGATGAGTTAGAACCACGCCACAGATAGTGTTGATGAGTTAGAACCACACCACGGATAGTGTTGATGAGTTAGAACCACGCCACGGATAGTGTTGATGAGTTAGAACCACGCCACAGATAGTGTTGATGAGTTAGAACCACACCACAGATAGTGTTGATGAGTTAGAACCACACCACGGATAGTGATGATGAGTTAGGACTACACCACGGATAGTGTTGATGAGTTAGAACCACACCACGGATAGTATTGATGAGTTAGAACCACACCACGGATAGTGTTAATGAGTTAGAACCATACCACGGATAGTGTTGATGAGTTAGAACTACACCACAGATAGTGTTGGTGAGTTAGAACCACACCACGGATAGTATTGATGAGTTAGAACCACACCACGGATAGTGTTGATGAGTTAGAACCACGCCACAGATAGTATTGATGAGTTAGAACCACACCACGGATAGTGTTAATGAGTTAGAACCACGCCACGGATAGTGATGATGAGTTAGAACCACACCACGGATAGTGTTGATGAGTTAGAACCACACCACGGATAGTGTTAATGAGTTAGAACCACGCCACGGATAGTGATGATGAGTTAGAACCACACCACGGATAGTGTTGATGAGTTAGAACCACGCCACAGATAGTATTGATGAGTCAGAACCACGCCACGGATAGTGTTGATGAGTTAGAACCACACCACGGATAGTGTTGATGAGTTAGAACCACACCACAGATAGTGTTGGTGAGTTAGAACCACACCACGGATAGTGTTGATGAGTTAGAACCACACCACAGATAGTATTGATGAGTTAGAACCACGCCACGGATAGTGTTGGTGAGTTAGAACCACACCACGGATAGTGTTGATGAGTTAGAACCACACCACGGATAGTGATGGTGAGTTAGAACCACGCCACAGATAGTGTTGGTGAGTTAGAACCACGCCACAGATAGTGTTGGTGAGTTAGAACCACGCCACAGATAGTGTTGATGAGTTAGAACCACACCACAGATAGTGTTGGTGAGTTAGAACCACACCACAGATAGTGTTGATGAGTTAGAACCACACCACGGATAGTGTTGATGAGTTAGAACCACACCACGGATAGTGTTGATGAGTTAGAACCACACCACAGATAGTGTTGGTGAGTTAGAACCACGCCACGGATAGTGTTGGTGAGTTAGAACCACACCACAGATAGTGTTGGTGAGTTAGAACCACGCCACGGATAGTGTTGGTGAGTTAGAACCACGCCACGGATAGTGTTGGTGAGTTAGAACCACGCCACGGATAGTGTTGATGAGTTAGAACCACACCACAGATAGTGTTGATGAGTTAGAACCACACCACAGATAGTGTTGATGAGTTAGAACCACACCACGGATAGTGTTGATGAGTTAGAACCACGCCACGGATAGTATTGATGAGTTAGAACCACGCCACGGATAGTGTTGGTGAGTTAGAACCACGCCACGGATAGTGTTGATGAGTTAGAACCACACCACAGATAGTGTTGATGAGTTAGAACCACACCACAGATAGTGTTGATGAGTTAGAACCACACCACGGATAGTGTTGATGAGTTAGAACCACGCCACGGATAGTATTGATGAGTTAGAACCACGCCACAGATAGTGTTGATGAGTTAGAACTACACCACGGATAGTGTTGATGAGTTAGAACCACACCACGGATAGTGTTGATGAGTTAGAACCACGCCACGGATAGTGTTGATGAGTTAGAACCACGCCACAGATAGTGTTGATGAGTTAGAACTACACCACGGATAGTGTTGATGAGTTAGAACCACACCACGGATAGTGTTGATGAGTTAGAACCACACCACAGATAGTGTTGATGAGTTAGAACCACGCCACGGATAGTGTTGATGAGTTAGAACCACACCACGGATAGTGTTGATGAGTTAGAACCACACCACGGATAGTATTGATGAGTTAGAACCACACCACAGATAGTGTTGATGAGTTAGAACCACGCCACGGATAGTGTTGGTGAGTTAGAACCACGCCACGGATAGTGTTGATGAGTTAGAACCACACCACGGATAGTGTTGATGAGTTAGAACCACACCACAGATAGTGTTGGTGAGTTAGAACCACGCCACGGATAGTGTTGATGAGTTAGAACCACGCCACGGATAGTGTTGATGAGTTAGAACCACACCACAGATAGTGTTGATGAGTTAGAACCACATCACGGATAGTGTTGATGAGTTAGAACCACATCACGGATAGTGTTGATGAGTTAGAACCACACCACGGATAGTGTTGATGAGTTAGAACCACACCACAGATAGTGTTGATGAGTTAGAACTACACCACGGATAGTGTTGATGAGTTAGAACCACACCACAGATAGTGTTGATGAGTTAGAACTACACCACAGATAGTGTTGATGAGTTAGAACCATGCCACAGATAGTGTTGATGAGTTAGAACTACACCACAGATAGTGTTGATGAGTTAGAACCACACCACAGATAGTGTTGATGAGTTAGAACTACACCACAGATAGTGTTGATGAGTTAGAACCACATCACGGATAGTGTTGATGAGTTAGAACCACATCACGGATAGTTTTGATGAGTTAGAACCACGCTATGCTTCAAATCGCTTTAAACTATTGTCATTGTAGTGCGTATTTAATGTGGCGCTGCACTCTGATGTTGTAGGAGAAAACATTTATTAAAACGTCTATTTAAGTAGAACGTGTTGTCTATATTTATTTAAAGTTGCGCATTTTGATGTGGCGCCACATTTCTCAAACCCCCCCCCCCCTCGTCACACATCGTCACAAATGTCTGACCCCCCACCCCCCCTAGGTGCGTGACGTCATTTATGGACGGCCCCTAATCCATCATCACCACCATCAGCCACTGTCCTGTCCTCTGCTTCATGAAGGCCTCCGTTTGGCAAACGCCATCTCTCACGGTCTCGTGATGCCCACAATCTGTCCCGCTTCTGCACACAAACCTGATCGCTACATTTTACTCGCAACCGCTCTGGTCTTCATTCTGCTTCTACAGAGGCGGATCTGTCACAGATGGTGTCTACTCGGAGCTGACTGAGTACCCAGCGGCCCCGTCTCTCTAGAAATACCAGGTCATCATCGCTGGTGATTTTAACATCTCTCGTGCGACGAATAAATGACCCTGACGCCATGCGGCTCCAGAAGGTTCTCTTTGACTGTATTGAACCCGTGCTGCTAACGTCGCTTATTTAACCTCCTTTCGTTCCTCAATCAAAGCCTCACCTCTTCTCCACTGCCCATTCCCTTCCTCGTCACTCCCCTCAGCCCTCCACTCCATCCCGCACCTCCCCTGCCGTCTTGTGACCCCTATGGGCCCTCTGTTGCCGGCACTCATTCCTCGGCCCTTGCACGCCCATGTCATCTCAATCGCTCGGTTTTTGTTACCGCTTCCTAAACGACGTAAAGTGCCTTGAGCTAAGGTGCTGTGGAAATATTAAATAAGATAAGAACGGTGGGGCACTCGACCCTTGTCATCAGAGTAGGGCTTCAGTGAAGTCCCGTGGGTACCTCCACACGTCGGCTCCAATCACAGCCTTGTTACCTGGCGTCCACCTCTGCTTGTGATTCATTGAGAAATCAGGGGAAGCTGGTCAAAGACACACATCACGCAGCGTGTTTTTGTTTGTGTGAGTTGCGTATTTGCTGCATGGTGTATGTTTCATGAACTGGCAGTAAATGGTATTGAGACCATAATTGTCACAGCACATGTTCAAACTCTGCTCACATCGAGTAAATGTGTGTTGCTGTTGCCGCTGTAGTGTTGCACTTTAGAGTACTGTAATGAAACAAGTATTTAAACTGTGGGTTAGATAAGACCTGTTTTACCTGAACTCACTGTGTCTCTGTGCTGCATTTTTTTTGTGTTTAGGGAGTACAGACAGTCTTCGAGCTGGGGGAGTGTGAGTATTGCATCAGCCTGCATGACATATCACTGACGCCTAACCGCTAGCAGTCCACCGATGGTCCCTGGTAGCGGTGCCGGCTAGCGACGGTTTCTCCGTGTGCCCGTGCGAAACTCCGCATGGGCTTCGCCAAGAGCAGCAGAGGCCGTGCTTCGTGCCCGAGAGCGTTGGCATTGACAGTGTGGAGTTGAATGCAGCCGGGCGTGGGTGCCTGCCACGCCAGCCTCTTTGTTTGTCTCGTGGGCTTTACAAAGGCAAAGGGCTGCCATGGCACCAAGTGGAAGCCACGTCGTACGATTGTCCGCAGTGAGGCAGTGTAAATGACAGTCATATGCACCACTCCCAATGCATTTGATTGACTTGCGGGTTGCGTCGCAACTGCCTCACCGTGAGAACGCGGGATCTTTGTGCGTGTGTTGGCGTGCTGTATCGCGTTGTGTTATGTGTGCGTTCGCAGTCCAACTCCATCAGCCCTGGTTCATTTGCAACAACTGGAGGGAGAGGGCAGGACACGAGAATGAACAATGACATCGATGCCATCAAGGTTCAATACTCATCACAAACACAGTTTCTAACCCTCTACTCATATCAGATGGCTGAAATCGTTGTTTTTGTGAAATAGAATTCAGTGTCCCCTGTAAGACAACTGATAAACATATAGAGGAGTTGCCCAATTAAGTCACATTTGACGCTTTTTGTACATCATTAGACCTCCTTTGCCAGTACCAACATGTTGTTTTTGTTTCCATTTTGACCACACGTATTGTGGTTAATGCACACGTGATTCCTTGTAAAAAGGTTTCAGTTTTGTTGCCAGAAAAAAAGGGGAAAAACCCCTGTTATCATTGTTGCTTTTTGTACAGTTTAATTGTTGTCTTGGCACACTGGACATGAGATGGACTGGAGCCTGATTGGTTGACTTGCTCTGTCGGTGGGGCGAGCGCCATGACCTCAGGACGCCCGTGCCCGAGTGCCCTCTGCACTCCCCAGCTGCTGATTGGTTGCTGGCGTACAGTGCACAATTGTTCAATGTCCATTCCACACGGTGAACTGTGGCCAAAATATCCACATGATTCCTGACGGACTTAGCTGCAGGAATCTACGCCGCTGGGTGCAATGCTGGAAAAAAGGTGCCAATCCAAAGTTTCGTTCAATTGGGCCATTAATTATTCATTTCCACGGCCGTCATGAGCTGTGCTGGCAGCGTGGTGTTTGCATTGGACGGGGCCGAAGAGCACGCCCCTCATACAGCGCCAAGTGCTGCCTGCGTTACGATCCCAATCGGCCCAACAAGCCGCTGGCCCAGCTCACTTCACAGGCCGTGCCCCACGCTCAGAGCCAGGCCAATCCCAAAACCAGTTCGTGATAAATAAAAATTACAGCTTTAGTCGTTATGAAAGCTAAATATTGTACTTGTATATACTCTCACCTAACATATGCCTGTGATACATTTGCTTGAAAATTTACTTTTCTTTGTAAGATCACGGAGATAGGAATACAGCATGGAAATAGGAAATAATTCTAGATTTAAAGCTTTCGTGACTGCAAGGATTTATATTCTTGGTTTTTTTCGGTAAAGTCATGTAGGTAAAAAATTTAAATTAATAAAAGTCAAATAAAAATAAAATAAAATAAAAATTACTTTTATTAATTTTGATTTTTTACCTACGTGACTTTACCGAAAAAACCCAAGAATATGGAGATAGGAAATAGGAAGGATGAGTAATTTGCAGTGTGAGGACCTAGGCCCGGGCCGTGATGCTGCTGCACGGCCACCAGTGCCCTGACCCTTGCGTTACGTCTGACCTTGCAAGTGTGACCCTGTCACATCGTGTGACTGTTAGTGTCGTTGACATCATGGTTGCATTTATACTTGGTGAACAGGTGGAGCTTGCCAAGGCTGAAGCAATGCTCGGGAGCATGAACCAGCCAAGCGCGGTCAAGTCAACCTACACATCAGAGTCCTCCTCGAGTAATGGGAGGCCGGATGCATTCATAGAGGTACAGCTCACCTTGCTAAGTGTACACAGCATACACAGATCCATTTACATTCAAAGGCATGCATACAATGGCACTCACAGCAGTACAGATTCCTCTGAGCATGCATACCTTGACGGATATGTACACAACAAGAACAACAATAGCCGCCATCCACCCCCAAGTGAAGGTTGAGGTCACCACAGCGATTGTGCGGGGCTGGGTGCACTTCCACACCTCACATGAGGCGTGGAAGGATCGCTCCTGGCAGGAGGTCATGGGGCAGACCCAGGTGTTGTGGCTTTACTGGCTGAGATAACTGAAATATCTTGATGAGCATACAAACACACATTATAATTTACATAAATCCCTTACTACTTTTTTAAGCATACACACGGGCATATCATACGCTATTTTGATAACCTCTTGAAGAAACAGATTAGCGCAGATGATGAGGTGAATTTGTCATCAGCTTCTGGGTTGTACCTCTTATCCGTGGGTAAGTGTGGATAATAAGAAGAAGAACCACTTCATGTATTATAGGAAGATCTGCAGATCGATACAGAGACATGGATAATAGGAGAGTTTTACCTGCACAGGCAGACCTCTCTTAGCGCAACCACGTAGAATGCCGATTCGTTATAGTGCTTGTTCTCGAATTTTTTTGTTATGAATAAGTTAAGAAAAGAAACAAATCTACAAAGTGCTTACGAGTGAGAACAACGTCACAGGCCGAGGAAACGTACCCGCCCCCATCATTCTCTCAGCCAATGAGAGCGACGTACGCTGAGCCAACTAGACCGTGATTCGTGGTCACGATTTCCTTAAAAAAAATATTTTTTCGTTTTGCCAGGAGAGGACTCACGAGACCAGGATAGAGTTTTATGTTCCACCTAAGAGAAACCTCACCACAGAAGTTTCGACTGAGGGCATCAAGAAAAGATGCACATTGAAAGTGCAGCAGCTCCAGCCTTGTCTCCCACCGCTGCCTTGTGGGAGTACAGTAGAATACACTCTTAAGTGCAGTACATAATACTAAATGCTGTCAAAATAAATTATTATTATTTATGAAATAATGTTCACCACCTGTATTATTTTTGCTGTTACCAATACCATAATGAAGCCCTCATATATTGCTCATGGGAAAGAAATAACGCTGTTGGGAACGCATCCCCATATATACAATGGTAGAATGACCCATTTTGTCACCAATTAGATAAGGGCTCCCTTGTCCAGGAACGCATCTTGAGTGCTAAGTGAAGTCTGTCTGTATATGGGATTTGTGAACCGTGCATGTGGTGGGTGTAAGCACAAATCCATTTGTGGTAGGCCCCAAAAGCCTCAAACCACACCTGTGAAGCACCCGAAACCCTGCGTACGGATGACTGTGTTTGTTTGCATCGCAGGAGGAGTTGAAGAAGGTTGGGTCGCTGCTGCAGAAGAATAGTAGCTCATCAGAAACGTTTTCATCGTTTGGCTCGAGCCACCCGTCTTCATCCAACGGCTCAGCGCTCGGCTCGAGCTTCGCCTCCGGCAGCTTCCAACCCAATGCAGCCGGAAAACCAGCGAGCAGCAGCTCCTACTCCTATGAGTACCAGGGCGGCGCAGCCTCTAAACCGGCAGGATCCACCTACTCCTTCGAGCATCAGAGCAGCGCGTCCGCTAAACCGGCAAGCACCATGTACTCGAGCGAGTACCAGAGTAGCGCAGCAGGGAGACCAGTAAGCAGTACCTACTCCAGCGAGTTCAATAGCAGCTCAGCTGGAGCAGGCCCAGTGAACAGCTATTCCAGCGTTGAATATCAAAGCGGCACGTCCGCCAAACCAATGAGCAGCACGTACTCTCGCGAGTTCCAGAGCAGCACAGCAGCGAGACCAGTAAGCAGTACCTACTCCAGCGAGTTCAATAGCAGCTCAGCAGGAGCAGGCCCAGCGAACAGCTATTCCAGCGTTGAATATCAAAGCGGCACGTCCGCCAAACCAATGAGCACCACGTACTCCAGCGAGTTCCAGAGCAGCACAGCAGCGAGACCAGTAAGCAGTACCTACTCCAGCGAGTTCAATAGCAGCGCAGCAGGAGCAGGCCCAGTGAACAGCTATTCCAGCGTTGATTATCAAAGCGGCACGTCCGCCAAACCAATGAGCACCACGTACTCCAGCGAGTTCAATAGCAGCTCAGCGGCAGGCCCAGCGAGCCGTGCCTACTCCAGCGAGTATCAAGGCAGTGGAGGCAGCGCAGGCGCCCTGAAGCTTCCGTCCAGCCAGAATGCGGAGTCATTCAACTGCGGCCTACAGCAGCAAGTGCAGCAGAGCAGCAGGGCTGAGATGTCCCAGTCAAGCCAACAGCAGCTCCTAAACAAGCAGAAGGAGATCGAGGTGAGAGGGGCCTGTGGTTGAACGTTCTTACTCGACACAGATCGCTGTTCATTTTGCAATGCCTCAGCAGATAAGAGTCCCCATTAGCTGGCAGCATATGTTGTGCGGGAAGAGATATGGTGCAAAATAATGCACACCAATGTGGAAGATGCTCACAATGTACGTGATTACTTCCACGGCTTATCACTTCTTGCAGGCTGAATGCAGGAATATATATATACTTCAGCATGGCTATGCCCCATGATCTAAAAGCTAAGCCTGTTGTCATATCTGCCGCACAAATAAATACGCATCTGGTGTGTGTGTATATATATATCATGTTTCAATTAATCTTTCCAACTTGATCTGCCCCCTATTAGCAGTGGTTCCACGCAATGCATTGTCCGTCACTCAGTGAATGTTTAATTTGATGTCTTGATGATTCGAATTCATCTACAAGCAGTCTACAATCTTAATTTTTGGTGATATCTGTCTGATTATATGTCTGTCTATAGTTTTTTCTGGTTAGAATTTTTTGTTGCTATTTCGTTTATACCTGATGATGATTGCTTGTGTTGCAATCGAAACGTCGTATGTTATTATTTAATTTATTATTTATCTTTATACGTGACTTTACCGAAAGAACCAAGAGTAAGCAGTCTACACATTATGGAGCCGTGCGTTTACTAGAGCGCAATGGCCTCTCGCACCGGTCTCGCTTGTACGTTTCCCTCCGTCACCACTGATAGTGATGTCGGAGGCCTGCATCGAAGTCTACGAGTTTCATCAGTGCAGCGGCCTCTCAGTCAGCGCTGGGTGCAGCGGCGTCACAGTCAGCGCTGTGAGCTGAGTGCAGCGACGTCTCAGTCAGAGCTGGGTGCTGGGTGCAGTGGTCTCAGGGCTGTGTGCTGGGTGCAGGGGCTGTGTTGATGTCGTTTTTTCTGTTTTTGGTGGCAGGCGGAGATGGAGCGACTTTATTCTGCTGTGAAGATGATGGAAGGCGGCTTTCCTCGTGACTCAATTATCGTGACGCCCGTCCAAACCAGTGGCAGCAGCAGCGGCAGCAGCACCTCCTGGGAACCGAATGCAAGTCAATAACACACACACAACATTACATTTAGTGTTTAGAATTTTTTAAATATTATAGCTACATACATAATCATTGGCAGGACTTATACAGTAAACATCTGCCATTCTTTATTAATAAAATCTTCTTTGCAATGGACTCATTCAAATCTTAAAGTAGCTGTGCTGCTCAGCGCATTTTACAATCTGATTTACTTTACATATTTTATAGAAAAGAGAATCACTCTGAGAATTAAGATAAAACAAAGCGTGTTTGGCTTACAAAGTAAATGGCAAAACCCGCCTTGATCGCAGCAAAGTAACGGAGGGGTGCCCATCACAGATCTCTTCACCAAAAAGCACCTTTTTCCCCAACGTGGACATTTGTGGATAATTGCCAGCACTTCAGGGTGACAGCTTAAATCCGTGAGGAAATGGGGCGCTTTTGGAGACCACTTTGTGGATAACTCAGAGCCGTGTGCAGAGGAGGTTGCTTCTTGACTCCTCTGGACTGCGTCATGGCCGCGGACGATAATAGGCAGTGGAACTTGACCTTGGCGCGGCCGAACGTGATGCGCCTTGACCACCACCTGCCTCGCCATTGTCCACGCTCTAGCCGCCACGCATATAAAGGATTTATAGTGAAAAACTTTGTTTTTACGGGTACATTTTTTTTGCTCTGTGCTGATAGAATATGAGGGTCACGGCTACACACGCTTCTTGTTTGACCATTGTGTGGGCCACGCTCACTCCCTCTCACATGGCCCTGACAGTGCCAAGTCTCTTTACTTTCTCTCTCTCTCTGTGTCTGTTTGGAAGAAAGAGCTATTACGCAGGCACAAAGAGTTACTCTTTTGAAAAGGCAGCTTCTTCGCCTGTTTGTGACACGTTTCTTTAATGGGGAGCGAATTAGGCTTTGTCACATCTGCCTTCTGTTTTTCGGTAAGTCACGTAGAGGTTATTTGTGTAATAAAAATGAAACAAAAATTACTCACTTTCGGCACAAGTGCGGGGACGTCGGAATATTATATGAAGGCTTATTTTTTATTATGTTACTTCGTCGCGTTACTTTACGAACCGAAGCAGAATTGCAATCCATGGCAATCCTTCAATTTTTAGCGTTGACATTCACTCGTTTTTTACATTTTATTTTAAGTTACGATTTATCTTCATTTGAAGCTTTCGTGACTGCAGGAATCCATACTCACTAGAAAAAATAATATTTATCTACGTGACTTTACCGAAAGAACCAGAGAGTATGATTGATCGATTTTCTCATAACCGCATTGTATCATAAATTTAGCAAAATGCAAATATGCAACACGGTTATTTTTTTATAGAATGCACCTGTGTTTTGTGCGGTATATCCGTCGATGACAAAAATAATCTACGTAAAAATTCCGTTGTAGTCCATTTTAGCGAGGCCACTCAGTGCTCCAGACACGCACGTGAATCACTCAGTCCTGCTGCAATACATTATCATGAAAAAAAACCTCATTCAGTTCGTAATTCCCTTGCCTTGATTTTGACGTCAGATTGATGTGGTGATTACACTGCACATTAGCGTCCTCTATATATAGGCAGAGCAAGGACGGGCATTGTTCTGCAGTGGCTATAGACCGCTCACTGAACAAGAGTTGCAGTTTTCCAAAGCTGCTCCGGGTGTTTATCAAACGGCTGCGAAAATGTCTTGTACGATTCTACCAACAAATGTCCGCATGTGCAGCGTCTTGCGGTGTTGATTGCTCACCGAATAGCCCCGTTGGTTGCCTAGCTGCCTCTTCAGGTAGCTTGATATCGTAACCACACCCCGCTAAGCTGTGCTGCATACAGTGCTGGATTATCCTCGTAGCAAAAGTAGCTACACATGCTACGGGCCCCGCACTTTCAAGGGCCCCGAGTTAAATGCTTTCAAGTTATCAACGCCGGTTCAGTGATTCTGCGCTTGCTCTATTACTATAGTACTATACTGCCTTCAACTTGTATGTATAGCAAATGAAAAAATACAATTACTTTACTAAGCAAGTTAAATAATTGTGTTTTAATACAGGCCCTGCACTAGCTTCATCTGGCACTGGCTGCATGGAGTCAGTGGTTCTATTTCGCTGCTCTGTTGGGGTAAAGTACGAACAAAACGTTGGCTGGGTAGCACCGTGGCGGGCACATGCGACTCGGAATCGTGAGGTTTGCCGGTCTAAATATCCACGCTCATGGAGAGCTGGCTGCAGCTTGCATGCCACGTCCCAACAGTGCTCTCTGCCTGGGATTATTCACTCTGATTTGGTTATTAGCAATTGCATGAAATAATTTCATTTTTGCAAAAAAGGGTCAATAGTCCAGAATGCGTGTCCAATCACACGTTACCTTTGAACCCAAGCCTCTACCCTGGTTGTTGCGGTGAAGCTTACGTTTCCTACCCATCCCGGAATATAAAAAGCTATTTTCACACTAAGCACACTCATTTTAGAATTAACTCAATCTAAAATTGAACTTTTATCCCTAAAATATCGAAGGGGATTGACTTGGCTTGTGAACTTCATCGGGTAAGTCAGTGGTTGCTATCCTCATGGAGAAACTGGCCCCTTGCCTGGGAACGTGGATACCAGCAGTAATGGGAACTGACCTAGGGCCCTTGGGCAGGGGGACATCGTGCCGCGTTCCGACGATTGCTAGAACCAGGCTCTGCCAGCCCGGCACGGGGCCGGAGTCAGCAGCACCGTCCCCACGGTGGACGAGCGGCCAGGCTCTGTAAGGTCGGCACCCCCTCTCCCCCCCCCCCTCCTGGTCCATCTCTCCTGCTGCTCTATACCCAGGGGAGAGATTCTGGGGAGTCAAAGTAAGTAAATAAGTATAACCCGTAAAAACAAAGTTTTTCACTATAAATCCTTTATATGCGTGGCAGCGAACTTAATATAAAGGATTAAAAAATATATTCGCCTGTGGAGGACGCGGGGATCGATACCGCGACCTTTGGCATGGGAAGCGAGGGCGCTACCAACTGCGCTACTCCGCCACGGCCTGTGGAGGGGTTACGCTCTGGGCTCTTATACTGTGACGTTCAGCCAAAGCCATGAAAGAGTTATATTTGAATATATGTAAAATATTTTTTTTTTGCCTAAAAAGTGTAAAATTTTGGGAATTTTTTTTCACGAACATTAATTGTCTGGCACAACGAGACTGTGTGGAAAATGTCAGCTCGATTGGATCACGGGAAGTGGGTTAAAAAACGACCGAAAGATTTGCACGGTTGTAAGCAAGCAAGCAAGCACGCAAGCAAGCAAGCAAGCACGCAAGCAAGCGAACTTAATATAAAGGATTTAAATACAGGTAGTCCCCTACTTACGATGGAGATGCGTTACGACGACCCCCATCATAAGTCAAAAATATCGTAAGTCGAAGATGGCCTAGCCTACACAGGAGTCTTAAAGAATGGTGATAATTTAGCAAAACAGAGAAATTTACAGTACCGTACTGTATAAACTATATACTGTATGTATTTATTAATTACAATACTGTATTGCACAGTAAAATGTAAAGTAAAAATACAAGGTAACTTCTTAGCCTACCTATATGACCTACAATTTAATAGAAAGTTTTTTTTCAGGAAACAATCCTATCTGCTATAAAAACTTTTAACATGCATTGAACGTATCGTATCGTGGTAACCCTAAAATTAAATCGCTAAAGCTACGTATCACACATGCATTGAACGTATCGTAACGTATCATATTGTACTGTACTCACTCAGATTCTGTCCGTCGTCTGCATACTTGAACGATGTTAGGTTGTTGATGGCAATTTTGTCTTATCGCTATCGCCATCGTAAGATTGTAATATCGTAAGTGGGACCATCGTAACTCGGGGACTACCTGTATGTACATTTATTCGGTGCAGTCGTGGGTGACTGCGATCATCAGCTCGCTGCACTTGCCAACCAGCTCCGTGGCAAGGTGACTGTAACCCCGATGTGAACCCAGCCTCTCAGCGCTGTGCTCTGGTCCATGGGCCACCCAGCCACTGCCTCTCATTTGTATTTTAACATTTTAACATAATTAATTATCGTGACTTTTTCCCCCATATTTGTTCAGATTAAATATGCACTTTTATGGCCCTTTTAGATGAGACATGTTTAAACCTTCATGATTATCTTGGATTTTATTGATTGACAGTATAGTTGTCCACATGTTTAAATATACAAAAAATATCATCATAAAAAAATGTGCCCTTTAGTGAGGGACATCCCTGCAAAACTCAATAACTTAGGGCTTCCCAGCGTAAATAATTTTGAAACGCATGAATAAATGTTAAATTGTAATTTTGTCCTGATTTAACCCTCCACTTTACATTCCCCCGTGGTTCCACGCTCACGGAGAGCTGGCTGCAGCTCGCATGCCACATCGCACATTGCTCTCTGCCTGGATTATCCACTCTGATTTGCTTCTCCAACACCGGCGATTGCATAAAATAATGTAATTTTTGGAAAAAAATGGTCAATTGTAAATCCAGAATGTGTATGTCCAATCACAATTGTTCAATCCTTTGAATCCAAGACTCTAACCCTGGTTAGTTGCGGTGAGGCTTACATTTCCTACCCATTCCTGAATATAAGAATGTTTTTTTAATCAACTAATCTTTTATGTCGTCACGTTTTGACGGACGCTTGTGTTGCGCCCAGAACGTCGTGATGTAATTTATTTTATCTTTTACCTACGTGACTTTACCGAAATAACCAAAGAGTATAGTCACGTTCTTATTAAAACGGGTGATCCATGGACGCTTCAGGAAGATGGCTTCATCAAGTGACCGTGCTCAGCCTCACAATTGTTAAACGTGCCAGTTGGATGTATGTTTCCTTGTCCCTCTCCCGCCCTCAATCGTCTCCCGGTGCCTCTGGCATTGCGAGGGCCGTCAGTGAAACTCACCATCGCTTCCCTCCCTCATCTCTCAGCATCCCCTCTCAATCACTTGTTGACATTTCTCTCCACTCTCTCCTCCGTCTGTCTCTTCTCCCCTACCCTCTTCTGTTCCTCGTTTGCCCTGCGACGTTCCCTTCTGTCTGCAGGAATAGTCACTAAAATACACCGATCCGTTTAAAACTAATACTATTCTACGCTGACAGGTGAGGCCCACAGCGCTTTCTAGCTATTTTTCAGTAGCGACCTGGCTTCTAATGATAGCTCAATAAAGTGGCTTAGCACGTGGAAGTTTATTGCAGCCAAATACTCTAAATGCATTCTCTAAATGCATTCTAGATTTTATTTTATTTCACCTACGTGACTTTACCGAAAGAACCAAAGAGTACTCTAAATGCATGTTTCTAAATTTGGAGGGGAAAACCCAGAGATACATTCACGTGACCACTGGGAGAGAGGCATGCAAAAACGACCTTCCGTATACCAGCCCAGGTAGTAAACATCTCGCCACCGTGGCGCCCATTCACAGCGACCCGACTCATTTCTACTGACCCTGGCCTCGTGTAGTACGTGGTCAGTCACAAGTGACTTGTGTGCCGTCGATTGGCCGAGGTGGCACGCACGCGCGACAATAACCGCGAGATATGCGTAACCTCAGCCGACGACGCATCATGGAATGTTGAAAGCAAATCGCGCCGGCTATGTACCAGGAGAGCGGTTATTACAATATGTAACAATGTATTGTAATCATGTAATAAGTGGGTAAATGTGCTACCTCTCTGGCCTTTGTGTGCTCGCAATAATGGCCATTGCCTGAAACGCCGTAGATTTTTCAATTTTCTTTTTGAGGCCACAGTTTTATTTATGAACGTGTTGAGGTTTTTGTTTGTTCTTGTTTGTGCAGTGCACCACTGCCAACGCAGCATCACCAAATAATTTGTTGCGCAGAGCCCTTTGAATTCCACTATTGTTTTTCCTACAATGTCTCCCTACTATTTTAGTGGGGGGTATCCATCGATGGCCCAGCCTGTGCGTCATGTGAGCCGTGCTGTCGTGGAGGCAGCTCTAACGTGTTTCACCGACGTGATTTGTTTTTGTGGTTGAAACAGATTTCGGTGACTTCCAGCTCCTCTCACTCTTTGCAGTCACTGCCGGAGGAACGGAAAGAAGACCTGGAGGTGAATGGGAATGCAGGGCTACGATGCCCGTTGACGTCTCTTTTTAATCCGGGGCATTTTTATTCCACGTGCAAGATGACACGTTCCTTATGCTTTGACGTCTGCTCGGAAAAAGAGACCACCTCATGCGTCATTGCACAAATACTGGGCTGTAGTGGTGGCACATGCGTAGAACGTTCACTCCTTCATTTTAATGCACTTTCTATACAGAATTCAGTCTGTGGATATTTGCTGTTGATAGTCTTCGTTGCTTAAAGATCATGAGCATTTTTGCCTCCTAAGTCATGTGTAGGATTGCTGGTGTGAGGTCATATAACAGACTCCATTGTTATGGGTCACCAGACTTCAGTAACTGGCCAAATTCAAATGCTTTTACAATCCCGAACTCTGCTTAATATTGTGAACGTTGATCACATGTCTCCTGTTGTTTCTGGAGGGTTATCGATGACAGCTGCCCAGCAGCGCCATTCGATATGTTACTGGGATGCTGCCTCCTCCACAAAAGCCAATCTGATACCAGCCAGCAGCAAGTCGATTTAGCACCACGTGTTCTTGTGCTGGATTGATCTCCACACCAGTTTATCTCCTTCATCCACCCAAATTTGTTTGGGTGTGTGATGGCTTAATATGCAGGCTACACAACCCAGCGACACAAGTTATCTACCAACAACTTTGTCCTAATCGTTTTCTCTGAACCCTGTCCAGATAATTCTGGTATCTCTGAGCACACAATCCATCCTAGATGCACCAAGAAGACTCGGCATGATTGTGGCCAAAAAGATTTCAAGTGTTGTAAGGCAACTTACATGTAGACAAACACAAAAGGCACCTTCTGGAGTATTTTAATCCACACAGAGAGACCAGTCATACATAAGACCATAACTAGGTTATTGAGAAATGTTAGAGACATCTGTGGAATGTTATGAAATCTAAATGTGATGCTCGTGAGTGTGACTTTAAATCGGTGTACTTAGTGGCACGCGTTTCTCTCTCATCTCAAGTAAATCTTAAAATGTCATTAACAGGAAATGAAACCCAAGGCCGTGAGCTGGGCTGATCTCAAAGCCACTGGGGAATTGGAGTCAGTCACCAGAGAGGAGATTGTGGTAGGTGCCACGGGACCCCGCACTGTCTCTGCGCAGAGCGTACAGCAAAGACAAAGAGTTCAAATTTATCTGCACGGTGTTGGGACACGATCTGTTAGTGACTAAAGACAAAGATCCCCCGTATAGCTTTAACAGACTGTCTGGGCAAGTGCTGTTGCCGAGCACCTATAAAGGCCGGCACGGCACACGAGGGGGTGGGTGGTCAACACCACATCCGGCCGGCTTTGTCTCCCTAGCGGCGATGTTTACACATCGCACCAGATACTCGTGTGAATCCACACTTTACCCCACGACACCTGCTGAGTCGACCTAGGGGAGGCCCAGGACCGGTTCAGATAATCGTCACCGGTGTTCGCCGTGAGTGGGAATCGAACCTGGGTCGCCGGGTTCGTAGCGCAGCGCGCTAACTGCTACGCCACCGCTCCGATTCATCTGCATAGTGTTGGGACAAGATCCGTTAGCAAATATAGCGCACACACGCACAAACATGTTCACAACCAGCCATAGCCCCTATCAAAGCAGCACATAAATAAACAATATTGCTCATCTACACGCAACATGCAGTGCGGTGTACCCATGCCCGTTCAGTATGCATGTATGCGCGTGCACACACGCTGAGGGTTATTGTGACCGATCGGGTATGTGTTTTTGGTTTCATTTCAGTTTTGATGCGTTAACACCCTGAGAGCTTTTTCAGAAATTACATTTTAACATCAAGCAAACGTTTTGACAAGGTGACACGTATTGTTGTTCCAAATGTAAAAATAATTGAATTGGTTTCGTTTGTAAAACATGACAAGTTCCCTTCAGGCTTCCAGTGTCATCTGTGTTATAAAGCAAACGCTGACGTTCAGCAGACGCATGACTTTGAAAACGCAGTCATAATAGTTGTCATTGGCATAAGCAAAACATTTATTTTACACTAAGCACGCTCGTTTTAGAATTCACTTCATCTGAAATATAACTTTTATCCCTACAATTTAAACTAATTTGAATGTCCCCAAAACAAAACTTGGGTTTAAAGCTCTTCATTATAATAAGCCTGGTCAATGAACAAGACAAAAGATAGAAACCTGAAAAGTAAATCCAGTCATACCTCGTTAAATCGCAAATGCAGGAAGCTGTCCAGTTGCCTCTCCTATGCTTTGATAGTTTGCGAAAACTGTTTGAAACGATATCTGCTAAACTTCTCTCCACTGATAAGGGATGAATCTGGGTCTTTAATTATCGACGTAAAATACGAGGCCAAGCTTTTTGGCGACTATTTTTTTGACAAATTTGACTTTGATGACCAAATAACATCTCATCTCTACCGATTCCTTCCCACAGTCAGATTAAACACGCTTTGAAATGACCTCAAGGTCCTACTGGTCTGAAAAGAGGGTGATCGATACCGTGTCAATAATGATCACCCTGTCACCTTGACCTCGTTAAAAATCTAGATTTGAAGTTTTCGTGACTGCAGGGATCCATACTCTTTGGTTCTTTCGGTAAAATCACGTAGGTAGAAAAATACATTAAATCACGACGTTTCGATTGATGATTGCTTGTCTTGCAATCGAAACGTCATGATTTATTTTATTTTATTTTTTACCTACGTGACTTTACCGAAAGAACCAAAGAGTATTGACCTCGTGACTTTACAAAGTGATGGGATATATCATCCACGATCAGCTCCTACGTCACTTGCAGTCATCAGCGATTCTGAGTGATCATCAGTCGAGATTCCATCAAGTATGATCTACAGGTTTATGTATCTCATGTTTAGAGCTCAAGCCTTTAACAAATTTGAGAGTGAATGGTCAGAGTCCTTGACATTCGTAGAGTATTTTGGTCATGTCTGGCACTGCACACCACTCTCAATGCTATACCGTTATGTGGAATCTCCTCTGCAAGTTCGGATTTCTAGCTTTCTAACTGAGAGGTCAATATATGCAGTCGTTGAAGGTTTGACACCTTCACAATTAGCGCTGGAATTTTGCTGGTCATGTTCAAGGGACAACACCGCAGTCAATGATGATATTACGTAAGGATGGCACTGCCACAGTACCTCCTGTTTTGTTTAATGATGATGTTCTCATGCAGAGCGAAACCATTCACCTGCTTGGCACAACAATCTCACCTGAGCTGTCATATAATAGCTGTACTACTAATCTGGCTCAGGAAGCATTGAAAAAGTGTGGTTTTCTTGTGCACGTCAAAAGCCTTCTTTGACGATGAACAATTATTACTACTGCAATTCAAAGCGCAAATTTGCCTGAAGTTGAAACGCCAAGCAGTCCGATTGATGATCCAGTGCTCACTGGGTCACTCCATTCACTCACTGGCAGTCGGTCATCTCCTTATAACTCTTCTCTTGCTACTACCGTGGCTACTGTTCCAATGAACCTAACTCTGAATCCTCCGCCCATGACGAGGACTCAGCCAGACTGTGTCATCCGATGCACGCGGTGTTCCTCCGCACACCGCAGGTCCAAACGCTTCTCTTGCAGATTTATTCCTCCCCCTGCTGCACTTGGGAATCCCCTCCCCGTGTCCATTTTCGCAAATTTGCATAACCTTGGCCAAAGTTATAAAATCTCATCTGCTACACCTCAAACAGTGCCGTTTCTTGCTATCCACTTGGCATTTTGAGCCTTTAGGTCTATTCCCAACAACTATGATTTTTTTTTTAAATACAAACACAGATCCATAACCTCAATTCCTAAACTCAATATCCCAACATTTTGAAGACAAAAAACATACACTGACATACAGTCTCTGCTAATAAACAGTTCGTGCCGATTCTGTAAATGTTCGCACCTCCAATTAGCACGGTTGGCTACTTGCGGTTGGAAGGAAGTTCAACATACATACACATATCCTGGTACTGAGTATACCTAATCAATGGAATCCACTCACTTCTCATTGTAATCACATGTGAACTCTGTATTCATAATACTCCATTCTGTGCCTTGAAAAAGCGGTGCCAGTACTGGGCAATGATGATCGGTCGAGTGATGTCCATGAGTGGGTTGTGGACGCGCAAGAAAAGCTCGCCCCACTCGTGCCGCTTCTGTGCCACAGGAGAGTGCCATGACCAAAACGACCGCCATGCCAGTTGGACTCTGGGACTTCACACTGCCGCCCGCCTACAGGCCTTCGAACACGTCTGGCAGCAGCGGGAGTGCACAGGCAAGCAACCCTCACACGCACGTCGTGTCCATTGTACGTGCGTGCGTACGTGCGTGTTGCAAGAGCCCCCCCCCCTCCCGCAGTGTCTCACCCCGTGGCCACCTCCCTGCAGGCGGAGGGGCAGCATGCGAGCGAGGCCTCGGTGCAGGCCACCTCGTCGGGGGCGCTCAATGCCGGCCGTTCGTGGGCAACGTCGAGCGGCTCGACGAAGCTCGACGCCTTCGGAGACGCTGACCTGACCGCGGTCGGCGATGGCTCGCACGGGGCCAAGTCCGAATGGTGAGACGCTTTGCCCCTCCTGCGCCGTCGCCACAAGAGCTACGGTTTACCGCTCGGTGGCACCAACGTCGCCATGGCTCTTGTGCCAAGCTGGGTACCTGTTGAGGCGATGCAGAGTGATGGAGGCTCGATTTAAAATAAACCACTTCAAAATAAAAGATGTCAAAAAAAACTAAACCCCTGAAAATAAAACAGAAGTCATCTGGCGTGAGATGAAGGTGGCTGGCAGACGCATCACGATGTTACCCTTTATCTGCTCCGACACTTTGCTCGTAGCTGTGAGCCGACTTTTTATTTCCTTTCTGCACCTTTTGTGGATGCTGGAGGCTGCCCGTGCCATCAACAGGTGCCGAATCTGACCATGCCAGGTACCCTTCAGCGGCGAGTGTGCGGGTGTCGTGGACAAAGATCCACCTGGTCGTCCCCCTAGGGTGGCAGGGCTTAGAGGGCGGCGTCATTGCGCGCCAGTAATAACGACGCAGCCGCCTGGCCCGAGTGAGCAGATAGTCTGCCGTCTGTGCAGAGCCGCAACGCGTTACTGTGCGGACCCAGAAGAAATTTGCTACCGAAAGAGCGGCTTTCCACCAAAACCACCACCTACTGCGGCGTTCCACCAAAACTTGCCTCAACGAAACGCGTTAATAGTCACATGAATCATCGTAGCTTTCCAATTACATTTGCGGCCCAAGTAATGACATCGATTGCCACTGATGTTCTGATCGAGATGGTTATTTTTTGGAGCAGTTCGTGCACTCGGATCAATCGCAATGCTCGGCGCGACACGCTATCCACAAGACTCGATTGACTAAAATGCCCTCTCCATAGGGCTCTCTAGATCTCCCCCTAGTGGGGGGCTCTTCTACCAGCAGTGATGTGAGCAATACATTGCCGAGTTCACCTTGAACCTTGCCTTTTCATTTCATCGCCAATAATGCGGGGAGTTCCCAATGCCTTCGGTACACGTTCAGGGGTGGCGACGTTCACCGTGAGTTGTAGCACTGGCAGAGGCGAAAGACGGATTGAATCCATTCGTTTCTAAATTAATTCTCTGCCCGTGTTGGGGTGCAGCTGCGGGAGGGTTCAAGCAGAGGCAGCGGCCCTGCGGGAGAAGGTGCAGGGCATGGACGAGCTGCTCAAGTCACAGTCCCGTAAGATGATGGTGCTGCATAAGCAGGTGAGCCGCGGGCTGCTGCACCGCGCTGAGCCACACGCAGCCTCTGTTGCGTGTGCCTGCCACTGGCGTGTGCACGCCTGCCACAGCAATGTGCTTTGTTGAACCAGCTTGCGGCTTTTTGAGCTCTGCCTGCCTGATTTTCCAACCTCACAGTGATTTGGTGAGGTTTGCTTAACAAAAGGGAAATTTAACCTCTACGTTTGTGATCCTCAAACAGTGTAATGCTTAAAAAAACACTTCTGTCGCTGACAGCATCACCCGTCCCTTCTCGTATCCGTCGCCTCGGCCTCCGCCTCCACCTGCCCTGTAAATTACTCCGATTTACGTCATTTCAATATTCGGCGCCCTTTTCAGAAACGCATCCTTGACGTAAACCGGGCTATTGCCATATTGCACCATTTAAAGATGAAGTAAAAAAAGGCATATTCCAGATGTGGGGTTGTAAACCAGCGGTGCAGGAGTGCTTGTTTAGCCGGGACATATATGGCTGTGGCCTCCGACCCTGAAGTTCCACAGACCGGTGGCGACCATGCTGAGCGTAGGTGTGGATCGTCACCGCGGACGCAAACGACACGGGGCGCGCTGCGCTTGTGTTTGACGTGCAAAGTGTGCGGGGGCGGACCTCGGCTCGTTCAGCAAGCAGCTGTGCGTCCCACCTGCAGACCGCCCCAAGTGTCACTACGTTGCAAATGTGACTACGTTACAGATGGGTTAGGATGCCTGCTTGCAAGTGTGTATTTATACAAAGCTATATCTAGAAGTAATATTGTACTTTTATAATATATAATATACTTCTGTATATTATATACTTTTTACTGTAGTGCTACTTCTTATACATATAGAAGTACTGTTAAACACGCTTGAATATATCATCGCTGACGTTGCAGCAAATGTCGAATACAAAGCAAAGCCAAGATTGTTATTGATCCAAACATCACTTGGATTTATTTGCTTGAGCAGAATCCGTGCAGGATGTGCTCTCGCGCACGCCCAATCGACATGCACCCGATGCGGACTGCACTTCATTCAATGTAACATTGACAGACTACAACACCTGGCTTGCATGGACAACCAGGTGGTCCAGGAAGGGTATTCGTCTCTTGTAACAGATACTCGTCATCTATTAGTGAATACAGCAGTCAGTGTTGATAGCGAATGAGAAGGTGTGGACGGATGATGCCATCAGGGTGGGGTGGCACGTGCCCCTCTAATAATCTGATCAAAATCCCTAATTTCGATCGGATCATTGGGGTTTATTAGTAGTAAATCGGCATTTTGCGACCCCCACTGCCACTGTGTAGCATATTATTACGTGCCAGGGACTCTATGAGATGATTGGACAATAGTCTGAGTCCATAATTGGCAATAAGTGACGGCAAAGCAGTTATAAGTGACTCACAGAATTGTACGCAGTTCCGTTTACAGTACACGACTTCCCTGAAGGCATTCACCTTCAGCGAGCGCGATGCCGATCACTCACGGTTCGAATTCGACCCTCGATCGATGGCTGCGCCATCGCCGCACACGCGTCGAACAAAAAGCAAGGGACAAGTCCTTACTTACTAACAACTCCTATCATTTTTCATTGCTAGAGGGGTTGCCCCCCTACTTGAAAATCCTGGCTCCGCCATTGCCAATGGACAAAGTCACGGTTAAAATTATCTCCGAGTGCCAACACAGTTCCTTAAGCGTTATCCCGTGCCTCTGCTGATAATAGAAGGCGGCATATGTTGTGCGTGCAAGGCCGCAAGCTGATAATGATTGTATTGCTATTTTCGAAGCATGTGCTGAGGGTATAAACTGAGGACTGTTCATCTGCCCCATCAGCTGGATGAGAAGGAGCAGGAGAGCGTGGAACTTCGGGCTCAGCTGCAAAAGCTGCAGGCGCAGGTGAGGTGGGGAATGATGGTGGGGAATGATGGCCGTGACTTTGCATCGGTCTCTTCGACCAAACACATTTTGAAAGGCAAATTCCTCACCCTTAGCATCACCAAAGCTCGATTTAACTGTAATTTGCGAGCTCCAATTTCATCAATCCCAGTTCTTTCACAGTACACGCATTGCACCAGCTCTCTCCTGAACCACTGAATTACCGATGATCACCTAACTGGAAGTGGAGTTTCATAAATAAACGGCGTGTCTCCTCCACATATCCATCTCCACATAAATCCATTGAAAGTATTTATTCCACCAGCCATCAGCCGCGTGGCCTTGTGGGAGTGTTTTAACAGCATTGTTTCAGGACAAGCAGACTATGGACAGGTTTAACACGTAGGGTTTCACGACCAATATCATTGTACAATTGACAAGCTACAATATCATCCATAATAGTTTTTTTTGGGTTAGATCGCGTCATTCAGACGCTGTCTTTCCGACAGACGTCATTCAGACGCTGTCTTTCCGACAGACTTGTTCTTCACCTGAGGACGGCTGCTTGCGTTGTTGCCGAAACGTCGTGAGAATTGTATTTTATTATGTTTATTTTTATTATTTCCCTTCTACGTGACTTTACCGAAAGAACCAAGAAGATGAATCCCTGCAGTCACGAAAGCTTTAAATCGAAATTTATACTGCCACAGCTGCTTGAGTCTTCAAGGCTCTCAAGATTCTTTGCCACCAGCAGGCAGTGGCCCCCCTTTGAAAACAACACCATTAATAGACAACGGCAAGATGGATTGATTATACCAAGCTCAATTCGATTTAAAAACGACAACATACGAATGTGCCCAACGAAGACGGTTTTCAAGCGTTGCACATCAACCACCATCACAGCACGGATCGGAAACATCGACGCTGACCATTACAATGGAAGGGCAAATTAGTGGCATCAAATTCTTGGTTCTTTCGGTCAAGTCACGTAGAAGGGAAATAATAAAATAATAATTAAACATTCAATAAAATTCTCACGACCTTTCGGCCACAATGCAAGCAGCCTTCCTCAGGTGAATGAAATAAAATCGAAATTTAAATCGAAATTTAGTGTCATCAAATTGATGGTCGATGGAAGCAAAATGGGCTTGGGCAGAACACACTGCGAGAAGGGAATGATGACGGATGGACAAGTCTGCTGATGGACTGGCCGCCGGAGGGAGAGAGAATGCACCTGGGAGGAGGGTGACCTCAAAGGAGATGGAGAGGCGAGGGTGGTTCCTGTGCGGGAGAGAGATGCCAAGCCGATGGTGGCGTCGAGTGGTAACGCGTTGCCATCGAGCGAAGGGGCCTTTTCGTGTCTCGCAAGCTTTGGGCAACCTTTAGATCGATTTGGCCAGTTTTCAGTCGGGCAAGTCCCTAATGGCACTACAGCTTTACACTGAAGGCATATAAATCCCTTATAGCATTAGAACTTTATACGGAAGTCATTCGTTTACGGACAACACCTTCTATATTGGTTGAAAGCGTTTTTAAAAAAAAACCCCAATGTATAAATTCAGTGTTGCATTTAATGTGGCTCATTTCAGTAGAATTACACAGAATGAAGAAGTGTCGTTTGTCCTGTTTCGATTTACTCGATGTGAGCCTATGCCCTTTGTGATTAATTCACTGTCACGCCGTGCCTTGACGTCAACGTTGATCACGGTGCTGTGAACGCAACGTGAGGGAGCTGCGCTTCGCCTGTTGTCACGACGTTGCTAATGGCGGTGGCGCGCGTGTCTTCTCTCTCTTCTCCACCCGCTGGTGTCATGGCGGGAGCAGTCCTCATCGTGGAGTTCTGGCCACTCCACATCCATGCGGTGAGAGACTCCTCAATTGTTCTCACGAAAACTATCACGAAAAAAACTTTTCTTTTATTTTGCCAGGTAAGGCCCACTGAGCTGTATTGCTCTTTTTTCAGAAGCGACCTGGCCACAAATGATAGCTCAACGGAAGTGGCTTATCATGTGGACATTTATAGCAGCCAAATACTCTAAATACATGTTTCTAAATGTGGAGGGAAAAACTGGAAGACCCGGAGAAAAATCCCTGCAAATTATAAATATACAACAAGTTTGAGGGCTGGTATCAAACCCACGACCTCCTGCATACCAGGCGAGGTAGTCATATCAACACCCTAGTGCCCCAGACCTGATATCCACCAGCTGGCCAGATAACATGGAACGAGAAAGTCTGAATCGATGCAATATGTACCAATGTAATTATGAATTATCGCAAGAGATAAAGTCGTTATGGAACCAGATTTGTACGCAGCGCTTCAGATACACGCGAAAAGGTGTGATTCGTAAGCAGCAATGCAAGCCACGTGTATTCCGCCGAGTTCCCGCAAGGGGCTGTAACAGCAGCTACCTGCCTCATGCAGGTGAGACGTTCCTTTTTGCCCCATCAGCCTCTGCATGAGATATTTGCCCAATCATGGTCAGCCTCAAGTATCACACATTGGGTTACACCACTGAGTGAGCACGTGTATGAGAGAGCGAGCGAGCGTGTGTATGAGAGAGTGAGCGTGCATATCTATGAGAGATTGAGCGCGTGTATGAGAGAGTAAGCACTCGTGTAGGAGTCGTTGGTCCATCAACACCAACACTTGCAGAGAACGAACACTGTTGTTGAAGACGGAGACTTGTGTTGCCTCCGAAACGTCGTGATTTAATTGATCTATTTTCATTTATTATTATTTTATTTTTATAATTTTTTACCTACGTGACTATACCGAAAAAAAACCTAAGAGTACTGTTGTTGACGGCCAGCATTTTCATCCCCGGTGCCCCGAGCCTTTGCCTCACACCCCCTTCCTTACACCTCCCCTCTCCTCCACTCCTCTTTCCCGCCAATCTATACCTTTTTGTGGTTTTTATTGCGCCCTTCTTTAATGATTTCACTGGGCGTGGTACCCTTGTCCCTTACATGACCCCCACACTCAATCCTGGCCACGTTTCCCACACAGCCTCGACACGTGTGCATTCAAAAGGATTGCGGTGTCTCATTCGTGCCTATGTGTGGGAGTCCAAGCGGGCGTTGGTGAATGATATATATTGGCGAAACATCAAAACTTATTTCGCTGCAAAAAAATGTCAAGGAAATGGCAGTTGAGCAAGCGGATACCTGAACCCATCTGTGCGTACATTTGAGTGATATCATCTTGTATTAGTTGCTTTGTGCACGGCATCCCTGTTTCTTACCACATGCAAATAATTTAAAGTGGCATTGATCAAACTTTTTAATGTAGGATCCTGCTGAAAAATAATCTTGAGACTCGGATACGCTTGTATGGATAAATACATCACATTATCAGCAAGCGTAGTATCATCACTCAGTAGCAGCAAGAGTAACGATGATCGTCTTCACGTTGGTGGCATCACCATCTCTCTCTCCTCTCAGACATGTGACATTGCATACATTCCACACGACTCTTATCGTCGAACCCGCCACGAGCGCTCCTCATGACCGCTGTTAACTGTGAATAATCATTGGTAACAGAGGAGGTTTTCTAAATAAGATAAAATATGCAGTTAAGAGGGTTGCAGATACGAGGAGTGTAATTCTCTCCAGATGCACCCTTTGGGAATGTAACACACGAGGTGCGTGCACGCTACTCTGGCTGTCTCTTTAGTTTGCGTGCGGTTGGGAGCGGCGCTGTTTCACGTCCTCGCCCAATGCTGAGCTCCATGGCAGAGTAACAGAGGAAATCAAAAGATGGTACGAATTCTGGCTCATTTAGTCGCACGGTTTGACTTTGAAAGGGTACGGTTTAACACGTAGGCTTCCGTGACCGAATTGTAAATGTCGTGGATTTACACACCGGTGTGCTGGACTAGCAACGAGTTGTTGGCATTTTTTGTTTACGTGGCAAACCTTACTAAGTTGCTGTGTCGGGTGGTGGCGGGCTTAACGACATATTTATATTAACGCGATCTCACCCAAAAAACCTCTTATGGATATTAAATGGTACGTATGTTGAACTTCTTTCGCACCATACACAGCCAACCGTGATAATCGGAGGTGCGGACGAAGGACAACAAACTAAACACAAAAAGCTGTTCTAAAGAAATGAGTTTTCAATCTAGATGATTTAAAGGTGCATAGCTCCAGTGGCTTCCTAATATAGGGAGGAAGAGCGTTCCAGACGGCCGCAGAAGCGCATCTGAAAGCGCACGATGCAGTGGCCGTCATTGATCGATGGCCAGCCAAGTGGAGGGGACTCAGAGGCTGACGGCTAAATGAGTACAGAGCCATGGTTTTAGCTCCGATTGTATCCATCTCAGATGAGAGAGATTTTTGTCCGGAGTAAAAGTGATTCTCGAAGCTCAGTCGCATTTTTAGCGTTGGATCCCAGTCTCAGGCTACAGCGCTTCCCACGTTCCACACGATCGCATCTTAGCGTTATATCCCAGGCAGCTTGCCTGTGGTTCATAGCAAGGCTTGAATTATATTCAAATATGCTCAAAATGTCCCCCCCAATATATTCCTATAAAATAGATTTCTGTTTATATGATTGTGATTATGGTTGTACTTTATGAATCCCTAATCTCTGCAATTGCATACAATGAAACAAGAAAAGGTATAGAAGAAAAAACAGAGCAATGTAAATACAATACGCTATTAGACATTATTGTAAAAAATAAATAAAAAGTCCATCCCATGTGTTAGTGAATTTTTTTCTATTTTAGGCAGGAAATTCGTTTGGTCCCCCCCAATGTTGACTCCATGGCTACGGCCTTGGTTCATAGTCTATAGTCTCAGCCCAGTCCGCAATACTACACGCAGAACATTGCAAAATTGTGCTCTTACACGTAATTCAACTATGTCGGTTGTGAAGGATTATTCGGCGTGTATGTGCAAACAGCAAGCCAGTCGTGCACATATTTGCGATGTGATTCGGTGGATCCATGAAGGTTGCTTTCTGTGTTGCTCTGTAAGCTAAAAGCCGCGAGCAACATTGAGATGGAATCGGCGATAAACGCTAATAGTATAATTGTAGGGACAATGAAGGTTGACACCGCCTCTGCTGTGATGAATGCGATGTCGCCGAGGGAGAAAGTCCACGGCCCGGCATGGCGATGGAATTGCATGATTACGGTCGACATTCGATAATTTCCAGGTTATAAATTCGAATGGGTTTTATTTGATAGCATCACTAAAATAACATTTAGAATACGTGTTGAAATAAAAATAAATAAAAGGAACTCAATGCGGGTGTAATTATTCCCGGGGAAGAACATTTGCCATTATTTTTTTGTTGTTCCTGGAAATTGCTCAAAGGACAGGGCATTGACCCCATGCCGCCCGTCCAACGCATGTCTCTGCACGGTGCCGGCTCCACCTCTGACCCTCGTGTCTCTGCACAATGTACCGCGCTGTGCTGTGCTCAGCTTGCGCTGTGCTTTCTTGAGCGTAGCATCAGACAGTCCCGTCGCATTTGCCCGCTTCCCAAGCGTGACAAGAGAGAGGAGGTACAGACACCGGCAGATGCGGGATTGTTTGGCTGGGCGTCTTCGGAGGGAGCCTGTTCCCCCCCATGGAACTCCTTTAAATCTACCACCGAGCACAGATGGCAGTCAAAATATCTCCTGGCTATGCATCTGTAGCTTGGGCAAGGTTCGTAAGCGCCACGGCAACGTTAACAGGGGACGGATTGTGCACGCACAATTAGAGATTGTTAATGTTGTTAGGCAAGAGGGCACGACATGCATTGATTAATGCTTTGATGTTCTGTTCAATACACGACTTGTGTTACCTGTCACAGCATGAAATGAAAACAGACATTGCCGTGTGTGCGTGCATAACCCTCGGGGGGTCGCGTGGTGATTGACAGAGATAATAAAGTGAGAGTGTTGAGATAACAGGGGGTTTTCCCCTTTTTTCTGGCAACAAAACTGAAATCTTTTTACGATGAATCACGTGTGCATTAACCACAATACGTGTGGTCAAAATGAAAACAAAAAACACTGAACAGGACCCTGCGGGGTGGGCTGGTAGGAACGAATAACCAAAGAATATAAACATTACACTTGTTTAGCCAGGAAAGCCCCACTGAGTCTAAAGGTTTTTGTAGGGTCCTGCCAAGTGTTTGCAGTAGGGGGCGATGTTGCTACACCGAATCGGACGATACGAAGGGAGAGTGTGAGGCCTAGTTCTAGGCTTTAGGCCTAGCTGTAGGCGTTAGGCCGCTGTGAGTTAATTTTTCATTTAAATGTTTTAATTATTTATGTAAAAGCTTTAAATGTAAATGTTTCTATTTAAAAACATCAGGGAATGTAACATTGTTAAACATTAACTCCCTTTCACACACACGGGGGTACGATACGAAGGGAGAGTTTGAGGCCTAGTTCTAGGCTTTAGGCCTAGCTGTAAGCTTTAGGCCGCCGTGAGTTAATTTTAAATTTAAATGTTTTTATTATTTATGTAAAAGCTTTAAATTTAATTGTTTCTATTTAAAAGCATCAGGGAATGTAACATTGTTAAACATTAACTCCCTTGCACACATGCGGGGGAACGATACGAAGGGAGAGTTTGAGGCGTAGTTTGAGGCTTTAGGCCTAGCTGTAGGCTTTAGGCCGCTGTGAGTTAAATTTTAATTTAATAGTTTTAATTAAAAGCTATCTCAGGGAATTATAAGGGAATGTTACACTTGTTTAGCCAGGAAAGCCTCATTAATTTAAATGTTTTAATTAAAAGCTATCTGAGGGAATTATAAGGGTATGTTACACTTGTTTAGCCAGGAAAGCGTCACCGAGTCTAAAGGTTTTTGTAGGGTCATGCCAAGTGTTTGCAGTAGGGGGCGATGTTGCTACACGGACGGACGGACGGATGGACGGACAAACGGACGGACGATATAATCTATTGTAGGCTGGTCCACTTCGTTCCTACCAGTATAACATATGCATTGTCCTTGAAACTAATTGGTCCACACCAGTTTCAAGGACAATGCATATATTATCAGAGAGTGTTTTCTGTTTGCATTTTGACCGCAAGTATTGTGGTTAATGCACACATGATTCCTCGTAAAAAGGTTTCAGTTTTGTTACCAGAAAAAAGGGGAAATCCCTATTATTATATTTTGCTACTGGCAAAGGAGGTCTAATGATGAGAGTGCTGAGTTGATAGCGCTGCATGAGAAAAGCTGTGCACGAGAAAAAGGGACAGAAAATCGGATGTAAGTTGGCTCTGCTGGAGGCAAATCAACTGGTCGTTCTCGACGTGGCCTGCAACCCAGCACTGCCGAGGCAGCGAGGGTTTTGTGGATCGCACCAATGTGGAACTCCCTTCCCCGTGGCTGTCAAGGAGGAGCCATTGCCGTGGCTCGCCAGGAGGAGGCAGGTGGACTAAAGCGCCATTTTGTTTCCACACGTACAGGGATGGAGTGTTGGCCCCTCGTTCGTGTTGGGGAGGTTTCTCTCTCCGGGTGGCTCCGGTTCCCCACCCACTTGTGCGACGAGGCAAAACAAAAGTGTCGTTTGAAAATAGGGGCCGTCCATAAATGACGTCACGCACCTAGGGGGAGGGTCAGACATTTGTGACGATGGGGGAGGGGGGGTGAGAAATGTGACGTCGCATCAAAATGCACAACTTTAAATAAATATAGACAACACATACTCTTTGGTTCTTTCGATAAAGTCACGTAGGTATATTTTATTTTCTACCTCCATGACTTTACCGAAAGAACCAAAGAGTATGGATTCCTGCAGTCACGAAAGCTTCAAATCAAGATTGCCTACCCTGAGACACCGTTGTTTGACCGACATTAAAACGGGAAATCAATTGGTGTTATAGCGCACGCGACAACTTCATTTGATCGGCTCCATCAACTGGTGGAAGGTTTTAGTTTACAAATTACATTCTACCTACTCGATCTAGTCAAAAATAAACGAACTATTTAAAATATTTAGCATTGCCCTGTTAGGTGCCTCTGCATTAACGGGCTGGGGTCTCACTAACATGGCCACCTCTGCTCCCTTAGCCTCGATGTTCTGGCTGTGTGATGGGCTGTGTGTCTCACTGGCGTGACCATGGTTACTTACGGTGGTTCTCTTGCGTGGACGCGCTTGCCTCTCACAGCGCAGTTGGCAGCGCCGCAGCTTGTGTTACACATAGACATGACATTAACTTGCTAATCCCCCTAATCTCTCCCATCAATATAGTGCTAGTCTCCCATTAACACTGCTGTTGTGCGCATATGTGGGCATGATACTCTTATGTGGCGACGGAAGCTTATTTCATGCTAATCTCTCTCCCTAATCTCTCTCCCTAATCTCTCTCTCCCTAATCTCCCCCATTAACACAACTGACGTGCTTGCGTCCGGGGATGGAATTCCTTTCCAGCTCAGACCCCGCTGGCTTGCCCATCACCACATATATAACCTCTTGTTGTAACAGCTCTCTCGCTGGATCAACAGTTCCACTGCTGGATTATTTTTTCCGCCTGAGGACGACCGATTGTGCTGCGATCGAAACGTCGTGATTTATTATTTTTTATTTTATTTTTCTACCTACGTGACTTTACCGAAAGACGCAAAGAGTATAGTAACCATTCAATTATTTAATAAAAAAACATATGAAGCCTATATGCTGGTTGGGCTACATGGACAGTTGATGGGTCGAGTTGGGGGGGGGTACACGACAAGCAAAGGGCACCGCGTTGGGCCACTTAACCATGAGCAAGGTAATTGGCCATCGGGGTCTGAATGTATTCTGGGCCTCCCCTGGGTTGAACACTCGGCTTTAAATGAGTCGCTGGTGCAGTCTGCGTTTATCAGCAGTGGGTCTATTATGCTGGTCACTCATAACCACCTCTTCATACCTCTTCTTGTCATCAAGGAACATCAACCGTCACGCGGACTCCGGTCATCCTCACAGCGGCTTTTGGCTAGTCGTCGAGCAGAGATGGACACTGCATCGCGTGCTTGCAGATGTGCTTCTGTGGCCGTCTGGAATGTTCTTCCGATGTTAGGATGCGACTGGAGCTATGGCACTTTTAAAGCTAGATTGAAAACAAATTTCTGTAAAACTGCCTTTTGTGTTTAGTTTGTTGTTCTTCCCCCACTACCACCTCAAACAGTGCTGTTTCCTGCTATCCACTTGGCAGTTTGAGCCATTGGGTCTCTTCCCAACAACTATGATTTTTTTTTATCCAAACACAGATCCATAACCTCAATTCCTAACCTCAATAACCCAACATTTAAAAACAAAACATACACGGGCATACAGTCTCTGCTAATAAACAATTCGTGCCGATTCTGTAAATGTTCGCACGGTTGGCTATGTACGGCGCGAAAGAAATTCAACATACATGCGCCGTTCTGATTTCAATGTGTGCTGTGATCGGCCACTTGTGATCTGAAGGAGTGAAGAGAGGAGGAACTCTGTGCGTGTGTCGCGTCTGTCGTGTGGCCCCCTGTGCTTGGTGGTACATGTTATTTATGTCGTTTATTGTGAAATTTCGGTCACAGTTCCTATGATCGCTGTTACATTGCTTTTATGGCTTTATTTTGGTGATTTCGAAACGTTTTTTGGTTTGGCCATGTTTGTTTGTTGTAGTACGGAGTTAGACTGATGGCTTTAATCTAAGTTGTCTTGTGGTTGTTGTTGTTGTTGTTTGACTTGCATCCCACTGGGATTTTTGCACTCAGCGTTGGTGGACGGTGCTTTTTCTGGAAGACTTTGCAGTCTTTTCCTGGATTTTTCTGTTTGCGCATAGTGACTTTAAGATGTTTTATTGTTCATGTTTGTTTTTGTTTGTTGCGGTTGCACCCGATTCAAGAGCCGAATGGCTCACATGGCTATACAAAATAAATGAAATTTAATGAAAAAAACCTGTGTGACTGCTGTGCAGGAGGATGTCGGCTGGGGGCAGCACAGACTACCCGCTGCTGAGACTCGCGGGCACACGTAGCTCCACCCGGCAGTGAAAGAAGTGGTGGTGGTGGTGGGGGAGCGTCACTCGTCAAGACGCACCAACGTCCAGCGTGTCACTCACTGCATGGCACCTTCCACTCACTGCATGGCACCTTCCACGACAGGGAAATCGCGCAGCCACTGTTTACTATAACTCACGTTGGATGGCACAAAGCTGCAGATGGAATTTCCTTCATTAAGCAAAACGCCTTTTTTTAGCAGCGCTGCATAAATATTACTTTTATCTGCCATCGTGCGGTGTCATTTGTACCACGCGTATTCTACGTGTGGGTATATCAGTGCAGTATTATTCATGACCTTCACATCATTACCGCTTTAAAAACTAGAGTCCGGGGGATTAAATAATGCACTCTTGGTTGCCGCTGTCTTCTAAAAGTGTAGCTTCTGAGGAGTAAGTGGCATCAAACGGCAATTCGCACGCTTCTCTACGCTGCTGTCGTGTGCTGGTGGGTGGATAAAGTAAGATTGAGTGCACGACCACCTGATCCCACAGCCATGCCAGATGGAATAGGGCCTCTCTGCTTGGATCCTAACAGGTCTGTAAAATGTGGTGAATATTCAGGGGAAATTAAATGTTTATATAAACGCCAGTTATGTGTTTTCGCGGCTTTTGCATACAAATGATTTGCATGATGTGAGAGCTAATTAAAGGGATGTAGAGTACATACAAAGAGTAAAAACCTTACAGAATGGCCAGTGTCATGTTAGACATGAGTTCATATCATAATGTGCATGTGATAGTGCATGGGTGGGTGAGAGCAATAGGTCACGGTCATCAGTATGTTTTACTTTAGAAAAATAAGCAATCTTTAAGAATTCTCACTTTTTATTTGTTAAGTAACCAGATAAATACAGTGTTTTAAACTGAAATGCATTTGCAGTTATTGCAGGCAATGTGTGGGTTTGGCAGTGTACCACTCCACATGATTGATGCCTTTTAATAATTTCCAGTTGCCAAAAGAATACCTGATGTGGCCGTGCTAGTTTATTATGGGCCTGAGAACGATATTGATATTTGGGAGGTGAATAGACATGGGCCAGTAATATTTGAGGGCCCACAAGGGTTTTGGGGAGGGGCACAATGTACGTCTTGTTATCTCTGTTGACCACTTCCCACAATTTCCCTAAGTGCCTGGATTCCATTGCCCAGCAAATGAGCGTATGACCCATTTTTCCCTGCACTGCACCGTAAACCATGGGCAATGTGAGAAGGTTTGCGATGTCGACTTTCAAGCGCGTGTCTTGCCCCTTGCATTATCCACTGGGTGGTTGCACGAATACAACTGTTGAATAATGCAGGCTCGGTGGATTTACATCTGCCCAATAAAAAAACAACTTCTGGTCTAATGTCGATGCGTGGTTTATTTTTCCATCCACTTTTTCGCCAAACCAATTTAGTGAAATAAAATTGTGCCAAATTGATGCTCACAAGCAATCAAAAACGCACCACCAGCGGAGAGCATTTTTCCCCCAAGCTAACCCGACTGACTCTGGCGGCTATTTTCTCTCCCTGTCCCTCCCACCAAAGTCAAGATGCCCCCCCCCCCCCAGCGCTCGCAGCTCTCCTGTGCAGTGCTCCTCCCTCGTGCGCAGCTGGAGGGGCCACGTATCTGGCCTCTTTCTGTCGTCCCAGCAGCAGCAGCGTCGCCTGGGGTAGACCGTGAGCTGATGCTGCTGCTTCTCTCTGCGGCCGCTGCAGCAGAATGAGGAGTTCTGCCCTTGGCACATTTCGTCCCATGACAAATAAACTCCTTAAAAAAAGTTTTTTTTTTTACAACAACGGTTTTATTAACTACTTCGTTTGACTCACGGTCGAGAAGTGCGTCATTGGTGCCTGAGACACGCGGCGACTGCGTTTTGTGCGAGCCGATTCCACAGTTTAATGACCGCGGCGTTTTTGACAACAAAAAAATATTATTAATAAGCCGTCCATACATTGCTTTAAAGTAGCGAATTAATTGATGCCGATTTTGATACAGGCATGTATTGTCACCGGATATGAGCACGTGTGCAAAATGTGGAATTGCTTGGACAACGGTAAGTGGACAAACTTTTGATGACAAGATTTGACCACGACAAACAAAGGAATCAAGTTAAGTAAAACCATTGAAAAAAAAGCTAAGATCTGCTTAGTTTCGCCTGGACAGACTGTTGGGGTAAGTGCTGTTAGCGAGCACCTATGAAGGCTGGCACGGCACACGAGGGGTTGGTGGCCAGCACCATAGACAAAGATCCCCCGTATAGCCTGAAAAGACTTGTGGCAAGTGCTGTTAGCGAGCACCTACGAAGGCCGGCACGGCACGTGAGGGGGTGGGTGGCCAGCACCACGCCTGACCGCTTTTGTCTCCCCTAGTGGCGATGTTTACACATGGCACCAGGTACTCGTGTGAATCCACACTTTACCCCACGACACGAAACCTGCCAGTTGACTGCAGTGCCCTTTGTATTGATGGGTGGACGAGGGCAGTGGTGGATTTCAGGAACTCGCTCCACCGTTTCGGCTGCAGAGCCGCGAGGCTGCGTCGAACCACGATCTCGGGGTTGCAAGTCGAGTGTGTCGACCAGGACACCCACACGGACGATGACGAACGCACACGGGGCTGAATTTTCATGTTTGTTATTCATTATTGCACGTGCGGTAAACTGTTAACAGGTTCATTGACATTTTTTTTTTACAATGTGGTTACCGGTTATGAAAAACAATTGTTTAACCAGACCAAGGCCGTAATTACAATATATATTGGGACACCCCCCCCCCCCCCAATATTCAAATATGCTCAAAATGCCCCCCCCCCCAATATATTGCTATAAAATAGATTTTTGTTTATATGATTGTGGTTATGGTTGTACTTTATTAATCCCTAACCTCTGCCATTACATACAATGAAACAAGCAAAGGTAAAAAAACAGAGCAATGTAATACAATACACTATTAGACATTATTATAATCCATCCTGTGTTAGTGAATTTTTTTATATTTTAGGCAGGAAATGAGTTTTCAAATTTATATTTTTTTTCTGGAAGATTTGGTCCCCACCAATATTGACTCCATGGCTACGGCCTTGAACCAGACCCGATAGAAATCACATTGAAACTCAATGTCTGTTGGTGAATATTTCAGATGTGATTTTTTTAGGACGTGTGCTGAAACACTGAGCATGCCTGACAGTGCACCCAAGGCAACGTAACTGTGTTGAAGTGAAGACAGAGCTGTCTGAAAGACAGCGCTCCAATGAACACTGCTAAGCTTGGCAGCGTATTTTAAGCTGGATGGGAGTAGCTTAAAATACGCTGCCAAGCTTAGCAGTGTTCATTGGAGCGCTCTCTTTCAGACGGCTCTGTCTTCACCTGAGGACGGCTGCTTGTGTTGTGGCCGAAACGTCGTGAGAATTAAATTTGATTATGTTTTATTTTTATTATTTTATTATTTCTCTTCTACGTGACTTTACCGAAAGAACCAAGAAGATGAATCCCTGCAGTCACGAAAGCTTTAAATCGAAATGTGTTTAAGTGGTGACATCAAAATACAAGCGGGTCTCCCAGAGACTAACCCGTCTGAAACCAGGGTATGTAAAGCAATTGGCATGACACTGCAAGCATTGTACACTTTCTCGGGTGTATATTAAGGTGTCTTTATAAAACTATTATAATTAGTTTGAAGGTTGTTTTTTTTAATCCTTTATATTAAGTTCACTTGCTTGCTTGCTTAGGACCGTGCAAATCTTTCGGTCGTTTTTTAACCCACTTCCCGTGATCCAATCGAGCTGACATTTTCCAAAATTTTACACTTTTTAGGACAAAAATATTATATATAATTACCAATGGCTTAATGCTGCCATGCAATCATCTGACCCATAGGTGACAGCCATCTCAAGCCAGAGGACGAGAGGACTCTAGCCGCCACGCATATAAAGGATTTATAGTGAAAAACTTTGTTTTTACGGGTAATACTTGTTACTAACCTAAAAATATTGGGTGATCTTGGCAGAAGCTGGTGCACACCTTGATGACGTGCCAACTTCAATACGTCTTGTGGTGCCATCGCCCCCTGGTGGGCACGTGCACTTTTAAAGGGATGAGACCCCAATCTCCCACTCTCTCGAGAGAGAGTCTAAATCCACTCTCTCTCGGATCCACTATCCCTCTCTCTGGATCCACTCTCTCTCGAGATCTCTACCGAGTGTGTATGTATAGTCATACACACCAGGCTCAAACCGCTGTCGAATTTGAATTCGTTAATAATGGATGACAACACAGTTGTGGCAATCACCTGATTATGCTGGTTGCAACTCCCAGCGAAGCATCGTACCTAATTGTCAACTGTGTGTGGAGTGCTGTTCCACATCACAGTTTGCTGAAGCAAGGAATAGATTGGTGCATGTTTTCACGTGACAGCTTTACTAATTTGGCCGACGAAAACATCATTTATTTATCGTGACATTTGCTGCAAAAGCCTGCGTGTGAAATATTTGGGTACGTGGTGTAGGAGAGCTGTTTTAATTGCTGGACATTCTTACGTCCGGTGCATCCTGCTTTGAAGAAGATTGACGGTGGATGATATGGATCTGTCAACAGCACGGAAACTATGACCTCTGGTTTCTGCCCACCAATGGAGATAATCAAATCTTATTCAAGTGCAGATTGATTGTGGACGGTAAACAGCTCGAGTGAAAGATTGTTTATAAGACCGTCACAAATCCAGACAGAATTAGAAATGTGTCCGCATTTCACAAGGCATTTTGGGAAATGATTGAGCGGATATGAATTCCCACTGGATCGGCCTCTTGCAGATTATTTCGTGTGCCTTTTAACAACTTAAATAAATGCGTTGTGAGTGTGTTCGTCGATCATTTCCGGATCACACACTGCAGAGCACAGTATTTACAATTGGATACAGTGCGCAGTGGTGAGATTAAACCGAACTTTTCCATGCACTTGAAATATTTATGTTTAAAGTATCACAAGTCATTGTGTGCCCCATTTTCACGTCGTAAAACTGCATTGAGTGGTTTCTTGTGAAACGGTAGAACACGTGAGATAGCGGCTTTTGTGTTGCAATCACAAAGCCAGAGTCAAGGTGGCCTCAGTACAAAGTGTATTTGATCCATGAGAGGGCTTTTATGTTGTTGTTTAGATCGTGTAAATATAAACGTGTCGTTAAACCCGCCACTACCGGACACAACCAATTAGCAAGGTTCGTCACGTAAATAAAACGAGCCAATTCGTTACTAGTTCAGCAACACACGTGTGCTGGAGAATAAACCCACAAGATTTACAATTCGAGTACTCGGCATGCATCAACCACTGACATCTCAATTTCCACCATTGCTTGAACGTCTCACTCAAGTTCGATTCACGTCACGCTTGAGCCATCATTCCAGTCCAGGTGGTCGATGCCAGCTCGCCAGACTCACTCCTCCGTTCCGTGGAGACATTCCGCTGTGCCTCGTTCTGCGGGGCAGAATCGACCAGAGGGATCGTGGGCTCGGAAAGGGATTTGGGTATAATCCCAAAAATTGCATTACTGCTCCGTGATTCATGAGCTGAGATTATTCCCCCATTATTACTTTATGTAAAATAGTACTTGGTGGAATTAAACTCGGAAATAACGGCTCCCATAGCACCTGGGCTTTGTGGCATAATATTGCATTGATTGCTACGACTCCCAGCAACGTTGCATGCTGCTGATACGAATTGGGATCATTTAAAGTACAATAAAAACCCGAGTGTCATGATAAAAAAGTAATCAATTCATGCATGATAGGTAACGGTAATCTGAATTCTGTATATCCACTTAAGCTGGAGTAATACTGGTAGGAACCTCCTGGTTACATCAGCCCACAGGGGATTATTGTGGCCGTCCGTCCGTCGTGCAGGGAGGGGCTGGGTGGGGAGGGTGGGGCTGGGTGGGGGGTGGGAGGGGTGGGGCTGGGTGGGGAGGGGCTGGTCACCCCGTGGTGCCCTTATAAAACTCAACGTTTAACCTACTCACGCCGGCTTGTGCCGACGAAGAGAGAAAGGTAGGCAAACGATGGGAATATATCCGAAGAGAAATGTGTGTGTTGGTGTTCCTGGCCCAGCTGAAGCGGCAGCACACCCGTGCGTGCGTGATGATGATGGTGGTGGTGGACGAGGAAGCCAACTTGCGTCTGGGACCCGCGTGCCCCCCCAATGCCCATCAGGTGTGCGGATCCAGAATCGGGACTCTTCAAGCCACCCTCGAGGGCCACCACCAGACCTGATTGGGCGTCATCCTCGCAGCCCCCGAGGGGGCCTGCCGGGCCACGGTGTCCGAGGCTGGCGGGGAGCGCGACTGATGGAAAGGCGCCCGTCGCGTGCAT